CCCCCCCCCCCCCCCCCCCCCCCCCCCCCCCCCCCCCATTCCCCCCCCCCCCCCCCCCGCACCCCCAAGAGGTTTTGGTTTTCTCTTTGCATGTCTCCTGGTCTTTGGCTTTGCTTAACTTGTGTGTATTCAGCGGAAGCTCTAGTGCATCATCCCTCACAAAACACGAGCTCCATAAGTAAGGACTTGAAGGTGCTGAGTTTCCGACGTATCCCCAGAACCCGGCATGGACTAGCGACTCAGCGATTATTGATTCATTTCTTTCTTTCTTTCTTTTTTGTTTGGCGGCTGGTCGGTATGGGATCTGAACTCCTGACTTTGGTATTAACACTGTGCTCTAACCAACTGAGCTAACTGGCCAGTCTGACTCATTTCCTTTTAGTCAACAGTTTTACATTAATTACTTAAATATTTATGGAGCACTTATTCTGTTTCAGGTGTTTTGCTGGGTGTTGACAAAGCTGCACACAGAATAAGAAAGACAGTTCCTGCCTGTAAGGAGGGGGCAGGGCCAGCCCCAAATGTGTAAATAATTAATTGCCTTGCAGCTGAAGAGTAGCTAGAGTTAGGTAGGTAGTGGTACTAAGTGCAGCCTGGAATGTCTCTTTGTAAGGTCACAGAACAGAGTTGGGACACTCCCCTCTTTCTTTTCCCCTTTCTGGAACTCACCAGAACAAATCAGACCACCTATCATTACCAGAGACTGCCCGCCATTTCCTCCCCAGGGTGGACTTAAAAAGACTCAAGCCAGCCCTTGGCAGAGCCACTCAGGATAGGAGATGAGAGCCAGGAGGCTGTGCCCAGGTTGAGCCCCTTGCTGGGTGATCACTGGTCAGGTTCAGTGAACAGGCACCAGCGTCACGGGAAGGGGAGCTCAGTGGCCAGCCCCACTTGCAATGCACCCTCATCTCAGGCCTGCGGTTCCTGGTCCTCTTGGCTCACATTATCCCACCAGCTTGCAGCCTCTCCTCCCTCAAAGCCAGACTGCAGAGCAGCCTCCCTAACTCAGCGGTCTGCGTCACTCGTCAAGGGTCTTCAGGGAGCCCTTGCTCGGACTACTTCCGCTTTTCTAACCGGCTAGGATCCGACATCATCCTGGCTGTTTAAAAATGTGCCTGAATTGTTCACACAAACAACAGCTCTCGGGTGTGTTCTCAATGTCCCGGCTGTAACAGTGTCACAAAAAATTCTAGTACAAGAGTGATTACACATCACTACCCTAAGATAACCTGCCTTCCTTCGTTCTTTCCTTCCCTATTCCTGCCCTCCCTCCTTTCCTTCTTTCTTTCCTTCCCTCTCTTTTTCGCTCCACGAACATTAATTCATTCATTTCTCACAGCAGCTTTGTGAAGTGGGAACTATCAACATCAACACCATACAGAGAAGGAAGCTGAGGCAGAGACAGGTTAAGTAACTTGTCCAAGTCAAACAGCTTGTCAACGTCATTTAAACCCTGGAATTTAAAATAAACAGGTGAGTTACATTTTTTAGAATATTAATTTTCATTAGTTTAAGCCTGTAACAGGCATGATTGTCTCCTTCACCGATACCCAAGTGGAAGAGCCACAGCCCTGCGGATTAGCATGGTTTACGAAGGCAGAAAGCACGCGACTGGAGAGAAAGGGCCCGCTGTTTGCAGGAAGCGGACGAGTATTCTGTTGGGCTGAAGAGCGGGGCACGCAGCCGCGGGACACGAGGCTGGAGTCACCCAGGGCAGAGCCCTACATGCCAAGCTGGGCTTTGCTCTCGGCAGGACCGGAGCCCTGCGCCGGCGTCTGGAACGAGCTCTCCACTGGCTGGACCCGCGCAGGGGGCGTGGCTCGGGAGGGGCGTGGCTGCTTCCGGGGCGGGGCTTGAGGAGGGCGTGAGATATTGTGGAGACGAGGCTCGTAGAGGGGTGGGGCCAGGGGAAACGCGTGGCTCGCCGGAGGGGGCGGGGGTTCACGGCGGGGCCCACAGGGGGGGGGGGGGGGGGGGGG